GTTATTTTTCCCTTTGCTCGTTTTGTTTTCTTTTTTTTTTTTTTTTTGATAAACTACAATATTCTGTGACTCATTTTAATATTCATATAATAAATTTAGAGTAGATTATAATATAAAAAAATATAAAAGAATTCAAGCTAACAGCAGAGAGTACATAAGGAAACGTTCAGAAACAATTATGTAAATTAATACAAGTTTATTTCTCTCTGAACTAAGGAAAAACAAAACAAAAAAAAAATAAAGTTAAAGAGAAAATTTTTATATTTAAATTCCATTTTAGCAAAAAAAAAAAAGAGAAATAAATATTTTTATGGATATTTAATGAGCGATTTTTATTCAAATTTTAAAGTACACGTTCGTTTCGGGCGATTTGCTTTTGAAAGAAGCTTTAAAAATTTTAATCTAAATATTTTTTTCTGTTTTTAATTTTAAAATCATTTTATCAGGTTTAAGTTATTAAATCATTTAAATTAAATTTGGAATTTATTTTATAGTTATAGGAATATATTAAACTCTTTTGCTAATCAGTATGAAAATAAAGAATTTCGGATTATGAGAAAATATCGCAGTTAAATTTTATAAATTGAAGTTAGTTGTTTCAATAATATTTTCTGTTTTCTATTCTTCAAAATGATTTTTCTATTAAATTTTAACAATCTTCCCTCGTTGTAGTATTCCAAGAAATTGTATTCCTACTCGTTTTATGTCAGGATTTTTCAACAGTTTCGAAGATAAATTAGTAAGTGGATAAATAAGTAAAAAAGTAGAAGATAAGTAGAAAAATTTTTCTAGAATATGTTCAAGTGTACCGTTTTAGAATATTTCAGTACTACTAATGCGTACGCATAAATAAAGAAGCTTTCATCAAAGACTGACAACTTTCACATAATGTAAGCGTTTATTTTCAGCTAGAATTTTCATTAAATTCTGACACGCTTAAAAAACGTGGCCGCACATAATAAATTTAAAAACACCGCAAAAGGAAAGTTTTAAAACTTTTCAAATCTTTCTGAACTGAAATCAAGTTAAATTTTGAAAAAAGCCAAGCTCCTCAAAAACAAATAAAATGCAAAATCCTAATGAATCGTCTGTCTAATTTGAAATTCTGACCTGCCTAAAAAAAATGAGAAAGGAAAAATTTTGCTTTTTTTTCTAGGATGGTAAAACAATTTTTTTTCGTTAAAGAATAAATGCGAAAAGAAATTTTTCAGACGAAAAAAGAATAGTTTTTGTAAAGAGATGCTGAGAAATATATTGGAGTATTGCAAAGCAACTAATTATAGTACGAAAATGGTTCCGAAAACGTTACATTAATATTTTGAAGGTTAAATGGGAGTAAATGATAATTTTTTATATGAGATTTAGATGAAAATTGTGTACTCAATGAAGACAGTTTTCAATAAAGAGTCGCTTTGTTACATAACCTGTAGGTAAAATGAGTTCATTCTTAACACTGTAAAATTTCATTGTTATAAGCTTATTCTTCATAATTATATTATTTTTGCATTTTAATAATCCTCCGTAGCTAATTATATAACCGACTTTAGTAAAGGTTTACTAATAAATTAAAAGTAATCAAATGTAATTAAATAAAATTAAGAATTCAAATCTTTTCTTGCAACTTTTTCACTAAAAAGAAAAAAAATTTTTTTTTGAGGGAGATTTCTATACTATAAAATGAACAGTTTTTTAAAATTAATTAAAACTTGTTTGAAATTGTGAAATGCAGTAAAAACGATAAAAATTACATTTTTCTAAGCTAATTTTTATAACGCAATAAAAAATAGAAAATTTTTCAATTGTTTTCCGCACTCTGTTCATTTTAACATAAAAGATGACACTCTCTAATAATGTAAAAAAAATGTAAAAGAAATGTTTTTATTTTGTAAAAACTTTCAATGCCTTGGGGATTTTTTATTCTAAAATGATTTTTTTTTCTTCTATTTTGAACAAATAAAAAACATAATGCTTTTCTTTGATCACGTTCATTTTCTTCATCTTTCCACATTTTTAATACAATGGGAGTACAGACTTTATTTGAGTACAGCTAGTTGTTCTTGGGTACCTATCTACCTTCATTTTAAATTTTAATAAAAGTTTTCCGTATAATCCAAGTAAAATTAAAATTTATTAAAAAATTTAAAAAAAAAACAATAAAAATTTAATTAAATTATTTTAAAACTTTCGTAATAGCAGTGCAATCGAAATCAAACTAAAAATTCATAGATGAAGAAAAATCATAAAAAAATACAATTTTTTTTTTTCGTTTTCTTTTTTTTTGTTGTTAAAATATTGCAATTCCATGCAATTGGTATTCAAAGTTTTACTTTTTCTTTTGTCTTTGTAACACTTTTACCCCCCACCGACTTTATTTAGTTTTGAATTGAACTGCTTAATTTGAATTTGGTTTTAGGGCTGTTTAGCTGTAAGTGAAAAAAATATTGTTTCTCTTGTTTTATATTTGGACCTTATATTTTAGCCTCATGCAAGGAATCGTAATCAATCTACAACAATTATAAAAATTTTAGAATTGTGTTTCAAAAAGTTTTTAATTCATAAATTTGACGAAACCTTGGAACTTATGGCTTTGCAATTGAAGTACGTAATGTATGCAAATTCGATGACACGACAGGAATTCTTGAGTGGTTTTGTGTCAATTTAAGAAAATTTTTATTTTGCCCTGTGGTGACCAAATATTTTTTGGCATTCTTTGATTCTAAATCACTTCTATTCTGAATAATTTCTTTCTCACGCAATAATTTCGAATAGAAAGTAGAACGGCCAATTTCTATTCTTTTCTATTTTTTGACTTACAAATATAACAGTTTTTATAAGAAAATAGCTACTCTCTTGAAAACTTAACAAAAAAAAATTTTTTCCAATAAGAAATTTAAAATTGTTTTTTTATTCCTAACCACGTCTTTTTTTTCTTTTTCTCAGAAAATTTTCTTTTTATTTAAAAACTTCCGAAATTTAATTTTAACTTTTCCAACATTAACATTAAATATTGATAAGTTTTTGAGGTTATTTAAAAAAAAAAAAACTATTTTATTCTTTTTTTAGTTTTCTAGTACCGGTACCAAGGTATGGTTATAGTATTGAATTAAGTCAATACATTGGTAATTGATTCTATATTTTTTAAGGTTTTGGAAAAAAAATATTAGAAAATGTGTAAAATAAATTCGTGAAATTGAAAGTGAAATAAGAGAAATTACAAAAAATTGTATTAATTTTAAATAAATTTTCATTTTCACTTTTTTTTTCAGTCGTTAAATTTAATGCAGTAAATGCAGTAGAATATTAAAGAAAATTTGGTATAAGTTCAAAAAAACTATTTTACTTTACTCATAATTCCATTTGAAAAGGTTAATGCAGCACTATTAACATACTTAAGTTTTGTATTTTAAATTTTAATTAAGCCAATCAAAAGTAAATAACAGTTGCTAAAATATTACCACTAGACGGCAACTATAAATGTAGGATTTTATAAATTAGCTTTTAAGAAAATGAGAATTTCCTTTTCTATCGAAAAACGCCTTTTCGCCATCTTGTGAGATTTGCGATTTCGTACGATTTAAAATAGTTGCGTTACAACATAAATTTGGTGATAACAACTTTAATGGTTGATGATAAGACGTCGTTTTTAAGGTATGATGCCAAGTTTTACAATAAAACTTTTAATTAACGATTGAGTTTTTAGTAGCACAATTGCTTATAAAATAATTTTCGATTTTCAATAATAATTTTCAACTTACAGCTTAACATAATGCAGATTATAAAATTAATACGTATATAGAATTATATAAACATTAAGCCGATTGCTGGTCATTTAAAACAAATTATTCCAATACAGTTATCAGAAGTTTGGGTAGTTTATGACAGATCGCTTTCACTTATAAAATTCAATACATCCACATATAAAATTTAATCATCAACTGAATTGTCATATACCAAGAAGCACTTTCTTCAAGTTTTTTATTTATAAAATTGTCAAACTTATAGGGTGTGACTTTCGAACTTTATTCTACTTTTCTCAAACACTTTCCTTTTGAGTACTTACCTTGATATATGTCTGCAAATTAAGTTCATTTAAGTTGTTGAAAATACGAAAATTCTTGTTGGTAGAAACAAAAAAATGATCTAAAACAATTTCTAAAAATTTGTACAAGTTTATTAGACCGCTTACATTATTTAAAAATAAGAATTTTCTATCTAAATGTAATTAGGCCAACAATATTCTTAATTTCTTGTAAGACTTACATTTTACCTCAAAAGTTAAAAAGAATAGGAAACACTTTAACGCCTAAAAGTATGTAAGAATAATTTTGAATTTTTCAAATTATTAATGATGTTTTTGTTTTCTTGTTATAATCTCGTTCTTGTAAATTTATTTACTCGTTGATTATAATATCAGACTCACCTTTTATACGCAATTTTACGAAAATGAACCCTTACATATATAATCCATAAGGATGTAAAAGGATATTCTATTATAATTTTTAATTTTTCAGTATAATTAAGGTTAATTTCATTTTTAATTTATGTATATGTATATATTTTTGCAAACTCTTTTGACCGTCCATTTATTTAATTTATGTTTTATGAAAAAAAAAATATTTATTTTTATTTTATTACCATTAAATGACGACATTTAACTTCTTTGCTGCTTTAAGGGAGGTTTTTTTTTATAATTTTTTTGCTAATTAAAAATTTCAAAATAATTTTTTTTTTATTATGTTTTACATTTTTCCTCTCTTTTTTTTTGCAATATGATAGCTATATACGTCTTTCTCTCATCTACAATGATGAAAATGATGAGTTTTCTCTTTTTTTTTGTAATATGGTGAATATTTAATGATGATTATTAAGTCGTGTTATTGTAAATGAGTGCAATTTGTTTTTTACTTTTATTAACTTTAATAATTTGAAAATGAGTTTTTAAATTATAAAAATTTTATTAAAGTTCCCTTTTATAATTTTTTATTTACTTTATTGTATAGATATGACGAATGGTGGTGTTCAGGGTCCATTAAAAGGATATAATGCCTTATTAGAAGATTCTGAGGAATTAACAACACCAACGACAACAACGCAAGCTAGTTATATGCATCCAAAATGGGCTGAACCATATTTTGATTCTATGACACCAAAAAATGTTACAGCTTTAGTTGGAAAAGCAGCTTATTTAAATTGTAGAGTTAGACAATTAGGAAATAAAACCGTAAGTATAAATAATAATTAAATAAAGTCAACAATATTCACGGATTTGTTATTTTCTGAAGTTGCAACACTTAAGGACTGGACATTTTTGTTTTCAGTTTATCTAGTTACAAGGTTAACAAAGTAATAGATAGAGGTTTCGGAACGCAATCTTTATATTAAAAGGTTGTGTAAAATATTTATTACAATTTGGGGAAAATATTTATTTAAACTCGATTTAAGTCGTGCTGTATGATAAGCCGAATATTTGCCCTTAAAAATGATTTATTTTAGTCCTTGTTAGAACATCTGCTTTTAAATTTAATAAAGTTTTGTAGCTAGAGGTTTTGTTAATAAGATAAGATTCAACTCGTTTATACGGTAATCTGTAAAGTATAAATAATTCAGCTGTACATAGTTCCACTGAACAATACTCACTTATCTGCAATTTCAAAATATGAGTACACTTCAACATTTTTCTAATACGTATTTTAATAAAATTTCAAATCAATATCTTAAAGCAAGTTAAAAGTGAAAAACAAGACTATTACAGTTGGTTTAGTAAGGAATACGGAATACATAGCGTAAAAGCGCGACTATATAGAAAAATTTGGTGCGTTTGTAATCTCTAAAAATTCGATGCGGTTGTATAGCTATTTGTAAAAAATAGCACATAGAATTGAATGACTTCTGAAATAATCTCATCACCCTAGCCTGTGTTGGTTCAATTGTGGTCTGTGTAGAATTAAAAATTATAGACTTAAGTTGGTTTTACAAATATATAAAATGGATATGGAAAGACACCAGAGTCAGAGCAAAATATTCAGGAGTTCAAAAACGTCTTACAAGGCAAATATCTCAAAAATTGATTCAGAATCCTATATGCTCCTCTAGATATCAGCAATTTGCACCACTGACAAATATTCGAAATAAATATTCTTGCATAACAAAATATTTGACAAAAACCAAGCGTTCCATAAAAGGAACTTCAAAGAAAGCGGTAAAAATTTGGTACAAAAAAATTATGTAGACAAAAAAAAATTTATTGTTATTGTTAAAACCTATCGTTAGATTAAAATTTAATCTTAATCTGAATGCGGTTGCAATTGGAAAAACTAGATCTTACTTCTTTCAGTTCGCAATAATAGTACATTTCAACATATCTATAGTAAACATAAACTATAAAATAAAGAAACTTTTTCGCGCTAATTTCAAATGTCATTGTTTTAATGCATTATCTAAATTCAAAAACATTCGCATAATAAATATTTTCAAATAACAACGAGATTTTATAAATAATTTCATTGAATCAGCTTTTGTGTTTAATAAAAGGGACGAACATTTCCAATAGATTAAAGCAAGTAATAACTATGTCTTATTTAATATAGGTATACCTACAAAGCATACAAGACATGTACACACATTATTATTTAAGTTAAAAAAAAATAGCTTAGTCGAAAGAATTTTAAAATTTCAATTTTTACATTTGATCTTAGTATTTAAAAATAGGTGGCTACTTTTTCTTATAGACAGCGAGAGAGAGAGATTTATAAAAATTTACTAAGTTTTATGTTTAAATAACATTTCATTTGCACATTCAAGGTGTATCATGGAAAAATCGGTTTGCGACCTGCTTATTTTTTATGAAAATATACATAAACCCGAAGGGAAGTTCTTATAAAAGTTATATTTTCATTGCTTACAGTGTTCGACTTGCAAGATACTGCAGCTACTACCACATAAATCTTGCTTTCATGATTAAGCATCAATTAATTCGCATAACTATAAATTAGATTTGATATTTATTACCATATAAACTTACACTATATTCAGTGCCTTATTTTACAACATTTTATTTTTCTAGTAATTAGAATTATATAATTTTTTATAACCTAAAAAATCGTCTAAAATTAATCATTTTCTAAACATTATTCATTGGTTAATAAAATTTTAATTACTTACCTTATTCATCTTGTAGATTCCCATAGACAAACATTCTATCTCACCCTTTCCAAATATTTTCATTTTATATAATATGTATGTCATGTATAAATACCTCTAATTTCATCAAGGTATTTTCCTCGAACAAAAGTACTTCCACAATAATAAATTTAAAAGAAATAAACAAAACTCCGAAAATTAAAAATTCATAAATAAAAACTTTTATATTATCGTTTTTAAATCCCTAATTATGTTATACTAGCAACTAAAATTTATTTATTTCTTTAAATTATAGTTAAAAAGATAGAAACATTTTGTAATAAAAGAGCGGTAATTATGTAACTAGAATACCTTTTAGAAAATATAGGATTTAATTTTATAAAAAATAAATTTTATATTTATAGTTAAACATTAATTCTTTATAGGCACGTGGATTTGAATGTGGTAAAGAAGCTCTTAATAAACAAGATATAGGATGTCAATAATTTGTAAAGTTTTACAAAGTTGTTATTACATTCTCAAACACAGTAGATTTATCGTGCTTATGATAGTAAAGATATCAGTGTTTCAAGTAACTCGTAATGAAGGTACCTTTACGAGATAATTACTTTGACACGTAAATAATTACTCATATAAGCTACTGATTTGTAGAGGTTTTCATTGGCTCTATGTCTAATTTTCAATTTATTCTCAATTTAGTACATTGTACTACAAAGCTATAAGTTTCAATTTACAAAAAAAAGCTATAGATGGTGTATATATTTAATGAAATTCGTCATTTTGTAGTTTACAAGTGCAAGAGTCTCATGCAACAGCCTATATTTGATTATTATTTATAATTTTCATAATTAACTTTTATTTTGGATAAATAAATAACCACCAGCATTAGAAACGTTATGTGAAATATCCTGGGTGCCTCTTAATATCTTTTAATTTAAGCTCTATACAGTTATTTTGTAAATTTCAGAAAAAACTTCGGGCGAAATCAGCGGAGTGGTTAATTAAATCTTAAAATTATTTTAGTCAATATAATATGATAAATACAATCACAACCTAATTATAGACAAGAAAAGAATTATATTTTTTAATATACTCGTAGATTTAGGTATTAGAAGAATAAATAAAATCAGGATATAATGAAAATTTACCATTTTATAAATTTAAATAACAAAATTTTATTACAGGTTTTATTCATTAAAAACCCCATATATTAAAATTAATTCAGTTTATTAATTTTACTACATATTTTGATTTTTATATTCCGAATTTAAATTATCCTAAATTAAAATTTCAAAAAAAAAAAATTATCTTCAAAAGATTTTTTATAAAATATAAATTAATTTGAATAAATTTCGTCCGTCTATTTAAAATAGACAATTTAAAAATTATTGAAACATAAAATACTCAAGATGAAGATTTTTAAATTCAAGCAACAATACAATTCCATTTTAAAAGTGCGGAATTCCAAAACAAGTGATACCCAGAGAAGAAATTGAGAAAAACAGAGACTTCAACTTTAGCAGGGAATGGCAATATTACATTACAGTGAGTAACGTAGTGTAGCATTACCTTGCATAAATAAAAGTCTGATTAATAGTTACCGTTTCAATTTTTAATCGGTTCATTTTTACTCATCAATATTATGAGAATTTTAATACCTACATATATTTAATCCATAAACTGAAAAAAGGGGGTAATAGTGAGTGAAAATATTAACCTCATTATCGCATTTAAATAAGAAATTTGATTGCTTTTGTTGTTTCGTTTATGGAAATAAAACTTAAGATCTGGGAGATGGTTAATGACACTGTTGCACGAACACAATCTAAATTCAATTGGTTATTTTTCATTCAATAATTTTAATTCGTTGCCTTTTTCAGAGACAATTTTTTTCCGCAAATTTAAAATTATAGACTTCATCCACAATACTATTTTGAAAAAAAGCTTAGGAGTCAAAAATAAAGGATACTTATGAGTACCAATGTTAACAAACTTATACAACGCTTATACCAATAAAAACTGATTAATTATTTAACTTCTGATTTATTATTTTATTTACTTGTCATGCACTCGAACATTCTAATAGCTATACGTATCAAAAAGAATTACTCACTTCATATTATGTAAATATGACTAAATATATAGCTACAAAGAAAGCACATTATGTAGATCTTATTAACAATTCCATAGAATGGAATATTTTAACAAGAAAAAATAACAATCCTACAAACAAATACATATAATTGTTACTGTATTATAATTAAATGAATCGCAGTTTCGTTTCCGTTTCGCTTTTCGAAAAATGTCTTGAAGGATACAAAAAAAAACTTGTTTTTTGAAACGTTGTTGTGTTAATGCGCTTTATTTACGGTACGAGAACTTTAAATATGGTATAATTTAATTTCTCAATTAAGAAAACTTAATAATCTCTTTTACTTATTTAAGGCAATTAAAATGTTAAAGAGAAAGAGAACAATAAACCCAAAAAAATTTTCCTCTTCTCTTATGTTTTTAAATTTTTTGTTTTTTGTAAAAAACAAAAGTTTTCAACCTTAAAAAAAGAATAAACATTTTATGCATACCATATAAAAAATTTTTGGGAAACTATGAAAGCTGGAATAACAATAAAGAATTTTCAATAGAACAAAAAGCATTTAAAAAATTTACGTGTTTCAGTTTGACTGAAATATTAGTAAAGGCACTATATTTAGAGAAAAACGTATTGTAATTATTGCATAAAACATTTTAAGAAACATTTTGCAAATTGACGAAAAATTCTTATTTAGAAAACAATAAAAAATCAGAAATCTAATTCCTCGAAAGCACAACACAAATTAAATTATTTAAATTGAATTACAGATATTTCTGTAAATAGTACTGCATTTTATAACATTATGACTAGACACTTAAAAAGTATAATATCAAATATTTTCTCCAGCCAATTGCAAGGTTGAATTTCGAGGAAATACTCTTGAGAAAACCTTAACTTATGATTAATTTAAAATCTTCAGAGAAAATAAATAAATGCACAATAATACCTCAATACTAAATAATCTCAAAATATTTAGATTAATTGTAACTAAAACTTTTTCATATATAAAATTTCAAGGTATCTTGGATACGGCATAGAGACATACATATTTTAACTGTAGGAAGTTATACATATACATCAGATCAACGATTTCAAGCAACCTATCATAAGGAAACAGAAGACTGGACTCTTCAAATAAAATGGGCCCAAAAACGTGATGCTGGAATGTATGAGTGCCAAATATCAACGCAACCAGTTCGAAGTTATTTTGTTAGATTAAATGTAGTTGGTAAGTTTATATTAATTTTTTTCATTTGTATATCGAAAACAATTGTACTAATTCAATTTTACTTTCTTGTATTTCATAGTTCCCACTGCAACAATACTCGGAAGTCCTGATATACATGTTGATAAAGGTAGCACAATTAATCTTACCTGTACAGTTAAATATAGTCCAGAACCACCAGCTTATATATTTTGGTATCATCATGAAGAAGTAAGTATAATTTTAAGAAATTAAGAAGCACAATAATTCGTACAAAAACGTTACTGATACTTACCTTAAGTGAAGGAAGTTTCTTATTTGAAAGATAATTTTGGTCTCAAAATGATAATTTTACTGATCAGTATTAATGAATATCAGTGGTCAAATACTAATATTGTATACTGTGAGATCAAATGTAATAGTTAGCAAAATCAACGTGTTATTTACAAAAAGTAAAGTGTACTATTTATATTCGCCAATTTTTTTGTGAAAATATCGAGTTGTTCAACACCTATGTACGTCTATTCTACTGCATTTAAATTAATGAATGAATTTCTATAGTTCAAAAAATAAAAAGGAAAGAACGGTTATTGTAGCTCTTTACCTCAATAACTTTCTTTACCTCAATAACTTTCTAGAAACCTTTATCAATTTGTAATTGAATTCAACAAAACTCTATAGAACAATGAAAATAAAATTCTACTAGGCTCAATTCATGAAGAATTTTGAAGAACAAACAAGATCGTAATATCGCGTTAGAAAATTATTTAGTATACATTCATTTTCGTTTGATGGAAAACTATATTTAGAATTAATTAAAGTATTCGAAACTATTAATGAATTGGCAAAAAAAAATAATGAAACTTGAACAAGTTGATCAAACACAGAGTATAAAATAAATTACAATTTTGACTGTTCTATACCCGCTTGTCATTAAATTCACCAATCATTTGAATCCTTTTCAATGATTTAATTTAAAAATTAAACGAAAAAAAAATCCCCTATATGCTATTATTTTCAAATCTTGAATTTCATTGAAATTTTCAATTATATTGTCTTTTTATTTGATTTTCATTTAAATAACAAGAGTTAAAAATCGCCTAAAAACAATTTAAATTAAAGTTTTAATTGGAAATTAATAGTAAAATAAAATTAAAAATGTTATAACAAACAAATGGAAAAAAAATAATGTTTAAAGCAATTATTTTCCCTCATAATTTGCAAAAGCAAGGACACAAAAAAGTAAAACAACAATACATTAATTAAATTTTTTTTTTGCAAATTACACACATCCATAGATTATCATGTACGTATATATTAAATAAATGGACAAATGATATTTTTGTATTAAAAATGTCATGGAGCACCATTTTAATTAAACAAATGCTTTGAGCAAACGAAATTTATTGGTAATTTTTGTCTAACGAATGAAATAAAGTATGCTTAATATTTTTGCCTGTAGGTGACTTTTCCTTCCCACCTTAAACTAAAAAAAAATAAAATTGAAGTAAACTGAAAATAACTCAACCTGCCACAAAGATGCTTTTTTCCTACGTTAATTGAGAGAAGTTTCAAGTAGAATTAGATTCATCACAAATCTAATTTGAAATTTTCGACAGTATATAGCAAAGTTATAAATGCGATGACTTTCACATATACCTGAAATGAAAATTTTAGGCAGATTATGACATATTTTGCACTACATAGAACGACTCGTGAAGAAACTTAAATAATTAAATGAACCGCATAAGATTTGAGTATTGTAAGCATTATTGTGCTTTAAATTTATTTAAAAAGCATTTAATGCTCTAGCTCAAAACATTTATTGTTTCAGCTTAAAACTCTAACGGATATGTGGCTCACTTGAATGTAGCCTAATTAACGACACTGAAAAAGGGATTGAAAAAAAAAAAGCTATCAAAATTTTTACGTTTTCTTATAAATTTTTATAATAACTCATATTATTCTCTCAGTAATAATTTTAAATTAAATTTTTAAGAGCGTACAAGAGTTTTTTTTTTAAATTAACAGAGAATTGAAAGAGTAGCTATTTTTGAAAATTTAGTTTTTAGTTTTAATCTTAAGAACTGCATTATCGAAAATATTCATACTCTCAATGTTCATGACTTTACTAATAACTTTTACTCTAATAAATATTGCTCTAATGCCTTATTAACCAAAATAAGTATTTTAAATAACATTAAAGAGAAAAATTACTTAGTACCTTCAGAATTACGTAAATATTCTGTTCATTTACTCAATAATATTTAACGGCTTCGTTACAACATGTCATGATATGTTGTGATCAGTTTAAGGGCACAAACATTTGTGGCTTGCTTTAATTTGTACATATTTAAATGAGGTCCTTTTTATACCCGTACGAACGTATGTTCGAAGGGTATACTAAATTTGCCTTACCGTTTGTAACGCTAAGAAATAACGGTGTTAGATATAGACTCAAGTGTATGTTTTTGATCAGCGTCAAATTCTGAGTTGATTTAGCTTTGTCTGTCCGTCCGTCCGTCCGTCCGTCCGTCCGTCCGTCCGTCCGTCCGAACGATAACTCAAAAACTAATTGAGCTAAGTTCACCAAATTTTCACAAATGATTTATTGTAGTAAGTGCCAGAACCCTATTTAAATTGGACATGATCGGGGTACCGGTTCGGATAGCTACCATACAACTTCAAAATTTATTTGGCTATATTTCAGAAACTATAAAAGTTATGGTATTGAAATTTCTCACAAACGAATATATTAGTAGGGCCAATATGCCCCATAAAAGTAGTTGAAATTACTTGGCTCCTTCTGGTACCTGCCATACAACTTCAAAAGTTATTTGGCTATATCTCAGAAACTATAAAAGCTGTGATATTGAGATTTCACACATGTGAATATATTAGTAGGGCCAATATGCCCCATAAAAGTCGTTGAAATTACTTGGCTCCTTCTGGTACCTGCCATACAACTTCAAAAGTTATTTGGCTATATCTCAGAAACTATAAAAGCTGTGATATTGAGATTTCACACAAGTGAGTATATTAGTAGGGCCGATGTGCTTGATAAAATTCGCTAAAATTTCTTGGCTCTTTCTGGTAGCTGCCATACAACATCAATAGTAGTTTAGCACAACCAGTATTTTGAATAACACATAGTACTGAAATTTTGCATAAATTAATATGGTAATACGGCAACTTAAAGTCGTAGTCTGCCCCATAGTTAGTTATGGCACATTAGTTATTCGCACATAGGATAACAAATTCGTACGGGTATCACAGAGTTGACAAGGTCAACTCTATTTTTTTCTCGTTTTCAAATTAATTTATAACACCAAAAAAAAAATGTTCGTTCGTAAAATAATTTAAAACAAAAATTGAATTTTTTTTTTACTATCTGGAACAAAATTTTAATTTAAAATTACCGAATATCATTATACATAATATCGTATAATAATTATGTACATAAATGTAGGAGTAAAATCACTGACATAATGTTTTTATGCACATACAATTTATACAATGCAAAATAACATTACTACTTTAACATTTTTTTTATCGAAATAATTCGACTTTATAATTTATGTAATAAAATTATACTATATATACATATGTATGTATTTTTGTTTATAGGTCATTAATTATGATTCATCAAGAGGTGGTGTATCTGTAATTACAGAGAAAGGAGATGTTACAACATCATTTTTATTAATACAAAATGCAGATTTAGCTGATTCTGGCAAATATTCATGTGCACCATCAAATGCAGATGTTGCAAGTGTTAGAGTTCACGTACTAACTGGTATGTAATATTAGCATATTATTCTATTATATTAATATTAACATAGGTTTAGATATAAGTGTTTAGTAAGTATACACATGGCACAAAGAATTTATCATTTGTTTTTTAATGTATGTATGTATGTTTTTTTTTGTTAGGTTTGTTTTTTTTTTCGAGCATACGTACATATTTTTTTTTGTCTCTTGCTTTTGTTTTCCAATTTTACTTTCAAATTTTGTATATATACGTACGTACATACATGTGCATGACGTAACTAGAGGATTTTTGTGTTTTTAAAAATTTTACAAAGAATTTTTTAATACACAATTTAATAGGATATTCAAATGAACTTGGACATGTAAAATTAATGAGTGAAAAATGTATTTCAAGTATTTTTTAAAGTAAACTGATCGCAAAGTATAATTTGTTTAATTTCATATGAAGTCGTAAGTTTTCTATTCAAATTAAATTTATTTAAAATCTCTCTATTTCTTTTAGTAGATAAACTTGTCTTTTTAAATTTAATTTACCCGAGCCTAATGTAGTAGCAAACGCATAAATTTAATTTACCCGAGCCTAACAACGAAGATAGTATTAACTCTAGTTTTGCAAATTTCCCGGCATGAGAACAGTGCTCTTTTAAAGAATTTTACCGGAGTTATAAGATCTTGTGATTTATGATTCCTCACTCAAGTTTCTTAAAATTGTAATTCCTCTTCCGAAGGACACAAGTTTAAAGCAGACCTGATTAAGTTTCTTAAAATTATAATTCCTCGTTCGAAGGACACAAGCTTAAAGCAGACCTGATTTTGCGTTTACATAAAAGATTTGACACCATTTATAGTTTCTCGCTAATCATAATGTCAATTCGAAAGAGGTGCTTGTCAAAAAGTATCTCGAGCGAAACTCAAAACAGAAACCTGATGGTTACAGATGGCCCACTATTGTCGATGCTTACAATGTAAACAAAAAATGATATCCATCTGGCAAAAGCCAAAAGTATGTTTAAAAATACTTGCACAATGGTAACCCTAAATTAACATTTTTTAGTTACTATCATAATGTAATCTATTTGGTTTAAAAGAATTAGGACATTAGCAAGGCTACAATATTTTTCTAACCTATTTTTTTGTTATCTAAATGAATTTTTTTCGCATAAGGCATAAGAGGCAGAGGCATAAAAAAAGAAAACAAGATGTTAAAATTAGCATAGGAAAACATTTAAAATTCAATTTTGTGCAACAAAACAACAACAAAAAAAAACGAAAAAGGAAAGACCTATTAAAAGGATTACAATAAATTGCAAAATGTTATAATGGTTACATTTTTTGCTTTATGTTCTTTTTTCTTTATTTTATTGTTAATTCTGTTTTATATTAAAATGTCATGGAATAATATTAGTTTAGAAAAAAGAAAATAATAGAAAAATTATAAAATAATTTAATGTTCTCCACTTTTTTATAAATGAAACAAGAAGTGTTAGACCAAAAAGTGTTAGGCACGCATGAAAGTTGTCCTACAAAGTCATTGCATTATTCATGAAAAATATAATTAAAAAATATACGCAATACCAGTTTTTAGGGCAAAATTTTAAATAGTAAAAAAAAATTCTTGGAACCCTAAGCTGCTGTGGTTATTTATAATGAGAAAGCACTAAATCTTATCTTATCAACAAAATTGCTCTGCTCAATTACTCATGCTCTGCCTATTTTACACTCCAATTAAATCTTCTGAAATTTAATGAATAGTTTTCTTATTTTAGTTTAGCAACCAACTTGCATTCACTATTTAAGATCATAAAGCGGCCACGTAAAGTAGGAAACTTATGAAAACACTAACAATTTAATTATTGTTATTCAAAAAGTGCTATCAGTTGCAATAATTGTACATTACCAACTTTGTCACATAAGTCAAATTTAAGAATAAAACCTGGTTTACAAATGATCTACTACACCATTTGGCATTTATTCAAATGAAAATAAATTAAATACCTAGATAAAAAATAACACTAAAATAATTATGTTTTAACAAATTTTGCAATTTTACATATATTATGTAGCTATATCTTGTAGTTATAACCAAAAAACTTGTTTCATAATTCAACTAATTGACAAAAAACATCAAGTTTTACAATATAATTCTAAAAATTTATTCATATAAAATAGAAAAACACCAATAAAACAATGTTTTTAAATTAATTTTATCTACAGGAAACACTATAGAAATTAAAATTGAAAAATTTTTATGGACCTAAAATATTTTATTTAAAATTCTCTTATTATTCTAATATTGAATTAGATAGAAAAAAACAATACCGAAAAAAAAAAATATTTTATGAGCATTTCATAAAAAAAAATTTACAAATGTAACAAACTTTTGTTACATTTTTTGTGTAATTATATTTTATATAGGAAAAACAAAAATTTAAACAAAAAATTTAGGAAAATTTAATAAAAAAAATCTGCCAATGACACTTTCATTCGAAATGAAATTTTTAATAAAGAATTACATTGTTCCCTGACAACAAAAAGAACTTGAATAATTATTTGGAAAAATGGTAGCTAAATTAAGATTAAAATACAAGGAGGTGAAGACTTAAAGATGAAACTGGAAACGTTGGTAGGTGAAATTGGAATCCTTGACTTGAAAATGAAGCTAGGAATAAGAAATCTCACGTTTATTGCTCTCGTTTAATTTAATAAAAAACATGTGCTAAAAACGTAAAACAATATAAGTCATAATTTTATTAGCAGGTTCGAAAAATTTAAGAACTTTCTTACCCACTTCTAAATGTATTTGGCAGGTTGTAATTAAAATCAAGTTTGTGACATTTAAATCAACATTTTTACTTAACTACTTCATATTCTGCTTAATTTAGGCTGTCTCCTGCTATCCTACCTAAATCTATCTAAATCTACAATCTATTTAAAAATGACTAATAATCTATCTAAATCTATCTATTCTAGATCTAATAAATCTATCTAAATCTAAATCTATCTAAAAATGACAATTGAAGAAAAAATTTGAACGAAAGTTTTTACTGGAGAAGGAGGGGGTGCGTTTAATTTAAATTATTTCGACAATTTTATCAACTTAAAATGTTGCAAATTGAAATCTTAATTCCCCAAAATGCATAAAGGAACGCAATATTTTCTTTTTACTTATATTATAATCGCTCTTTATTTGAGTAAACTATTCGCCTGTGAATTTATTCCCTCCATGTCCTTTAAACATTATGAGCATTTATGGAATTGTCCTGATCCTGTTCGATACTTCAAAACATTTTTTAAAATTTTTTTGTTTATTTTACTTGCAGGTTAATTTCTGTTGAATTCGTTAAACTCTTTTGCTTCTAGGAATGTATGCCCTGTTTAGATTTTAAATTGAATTTTCATTTACCAAATTTTTTATTATTTTATTACTATTATTAGATATTTTATATATTATTAGTTATTTATTACGGAAAAAAAATTCCTAAATGACACAAAAACATTTGGTCTAAGTATACAAAAAAAAAAATGTCAACAAGGTCATAAAATAATGTGAATTTAAAATTTTGAATAAATTTTTACAAATTTTTGTAAAATTAATACAAGTAAAATTTATTGAATTTTTATAAGCACCATAATGACACAAACTGCAATTTGATTTATTCTTTGAATTATTTTTTTTGAAAAATTTTAATTTTATCTATGCATCTGTGGGTCAATAAACAATATGGTTATAAAGAGATTTAAAAAAAAAATTAGAATTTAATAGAAATTTAAAATATTTATGGAAATCTGATAATATTCAATTTAATATTTGCAGCAGCGTTAAAATTTTCTAATCTTTTCACTAGAAGGTTTTTCTCTAAGAATACGATGTGAATATTGTGGATTTTTGTATTTTGTATTTAGATTTAGGTTAGTTCTAATTACTTAAACTAGAGATATATAATCTTTGTACTTGAAGCAAATTATAAACAAACTTTAAAGGTTTCATTATGGTTTCTTAGATAGTGTAACTTTTGAATATTAGTCAAACATTTGTATTATGTAAAAATTAAGTTTTGTTAAGTGAAACATTCGGCTTTTCAGCGATTTTTATAGGAGGCGTCATAGTATTTTACATTCTTTAAATAAAAGCAAACGGATTTTACGACCCAAAATGAACGACGGACGTGATAAAACTCTCTACCATTCTTTGCCTTTCATCATTACGACTCCATTTGTAATAATGATAAATAACACTTAAATTCAATTTGATTTATTCATTTATGCTATATTCTCTCAAAGAACTGTCTGTCTGTCTTTCCTTTCGTTTACCCGTTCCAGCGATTTCTGTAATAATAATAAGTTTAGTACAACATTTTATAGCTAATGGTTTGCAGATGCTAATTTCAGAACAATATTAGATTTATAAAATTAAAGTTCAACCTTATCATCCGGAATTCACTTTTTTCTATATAAGTACAAACGTATGTTCGAAGGGTATACTAAACCGTTTGTAACGCTAAGAAATAATGGTCTGAGTCAAGTGTATGTTTATATGAATAGAGTCAAGTGTATGTTTTTGATCAGCGTCTAATTCTGAGTCGATTAAGCTTTGTCTGTCCGTCCGTCCGTCCCAATTCCAAAACTAATTGAGCTAAGTTCCCCAAATTTTCACAAACGATTTATTATAGTAAGTACCAGAATAAAATTAAAATTGAATGTGATCGGGGTACTGGTTCGGGTAGCTACCATAATTTTTCAAAATTTATTTGACTTTATCCAGAAACTATAAAAGCTGTTATATTGAAATTTCATACTAGCGAATATATTAGTTGGGCCAATGTGTTTGATAAAAATCGCTGAAATTGTTTGGTTCCTTCTGGCAGCTGCCATACAACTTCAATAGTAGTTTGGCCATATTTTCGAAAAGCCAGTACTGAAATTTTCCATTAATTAATATGGTAAATTAAAATTATAGTCTGTCCCAAATTCAGCTATAGTATATTAATCGCACATAAGATAACAAATTCGTAAAAATAGATAGAA